GTAAATGGAGAGATACGGGAACGTCCATCACTGGTAAAGCATATAGTCCTCGAGCAGTGTGTTTCCATGATTGGATGATAAAATCGGGAGTAACAGGTACTAGGGAACAATACTCGTACCTTTAGTACAAGTGATGTGAACGAGTTTACTCATATTAGTACTGTTGGGGACCAGAGAAGTCTTAAATTTGTTACCCTTAATAATGGTACATTGGATCATAGTGTGAATTTAGTTTTCCTGCGTGACAATTGTTGAAGTCCTTTTAAAATGACTTAAACGTTGACCTCAAGGTTGTGCGCACAATCCAAGGTACAGTTTTACCTTGTTATATTTAGTATGATTTAAAAGGTTTATGTATCAATAAAATAAAATAAATGTAATGGAAATGTAATATAATGCCCAAGTAAATGGGTCTGAATCTGGTAAAAAAAAACTAGTTTCTGAAATGTCGGCTAATGAAAAAAGGCAAGCTCGCAGAAGTTGGAGGGTATACTAATACAAATCCTACAAAAAAAAGTTAATAAGTAATATGATGAAACAATTTTTTAGAGAAAATACTCCGTCTAGTTTAGATGACGAACCTGTAGGTCCTGAGTTCCATGATCATGAACAACGTCAGCAAGTAAATTTTGAGATAAAAGTTCCTCAAACATTATAAGCGAAGCCAAATCCAAGGTTGAAATCAGCACGACAACGGTCACAGAAGCAGCGTCGTAAGAAAAACCAGGAGATAAAACAAATATGCGCTAATAGTAAAATTGAAACAAAAACTTAGTAAATAAAAAAAGAGATGCCAGAGATTGAAAAAATAAAATAAACAAATGGAGCTTACGCCTAAAACCGCAATGACCAAACTTGCTGAAGATCCAACGATACGGGTAGACGTCGTCAAAAAGGCTTTATTTGGTGATATGCTGGAAAAATAAATATCAGATAATATGTCTAATCTGAAGACTCTAATAAATAAAATAAAATAGAAAATGAATCAAAAAAGCACAGACAAATAAATACGAGTTTAGTGACTGTGAGTGCCTTATAAGTGGTGTTCTCTACTGTGAAGATACGACAGGAAATGACTGGGTCCAGTATCTAATATGTAATAATTGGGCACAAGATGGATGTATTAAAGGTGAATCTACATTATTTACATGCCCTGAGTGTTTAGCTGATTGTGATTACAAAACATAGCTTAAAAGATAGATATATTAAATAGATTTATGTAAAATACTAGATTGAAGTATCATTTAGTCACAATTTGTTACAAAAACTTCATATTGTTACCTTGAAGAGATATTTTATTATTGAGAGAGAGATTATTATTATTCTTATGTTCAATAATAATTTGATGATTAATGTTCCTGTTGAAGGCTGTTTTAGGTATAGAATTAGTATCTAAGCCAAGTTTAAAACTACTTTTTGTTATTATAAAATATACTTTGATTATTAAAAATTAATGTTAAGAGGCAAATTTTTAAAATTTGTGAAATAAATGATTTTTGTTATTTTCCTGTGGGTCGATTTTTTTAAATGGCCATAAATCAAAAAATATTAAATATTTTGACTGTTCCCTTTAGGATAAGCTAAAAGACACTGTACTCTAGTTATTAGTCTGAATTCCGTCACCAGAATGTATAAAAAATATCGGGCCGAAATCAGATTCGAATTCTTCCATAGTTTGTAGAACTACCCATTTGTATAATATAATGGAATAATAGGTGTAGATAGGTACCTAGATACAACTATCTACAAAAAGAAATGAGATGCCATCAAAAACATAACTTGTAAAAAAACCGCACTAAACCAACTAATGATCACGAAAACACAACGTATCTCACAAGTAATACATATTATATTAAATTAGATTGTTTAATGCGATTGCCAAGTCAATTTATTTATTAAAAACATAAAAATTTGTAATATTGACATGGTCACTATAAGATGTTGTTATGTTTTTGATGGCATCATCTTTTTCCTTACTTCTAATTTTTTCCTTACCTTTCATTTAATTTAATTTGATTTTATCTCCTGAGAAGTTAACTTTACATTTAATAGTTAAGAGGACTACAAGAGCCAAGTGACCTCGAATGATGCACACACACATTTATACAAACCATGTGAGCGCCATCTAACGACAGTGAGGTTTAACACTAACGGATTAGCGAGGTTACGCCGGAGTGTTACAGGTAAGATAAAGATCTATCAAAGAAATAGATGGGACAACGAAATTATTTTTAATTTAAATTTAATGTTACCTGAAAATTTAAGAATGTGGGTGATTTTGAAATAAAACTTATTCGATGAAACTTAAATTATTTTTATTTATATAATAATAGTAATAAACTTTATTTATATAAAAGTAAGGTAAAAGGTAGAACATCACATCCTTTGTACTAACTATAAAATATTATATTCAATCTAGTGGATGTAGCTCTTTTCTCCTAGCTAGGTTACAGAATAACCTGTGTTAAAGAGTAACAGTCTCAATCCCCGTAATAGTAGGTATATAATGTGTGCGTGTGTGTGTGTGTTTGTGTGTGTATGCGTGTGTGTGACACTCATGTATGTGTGTGTGTGTGTTTGCGTATGCGTGTGTGTAGGTGGCGTATGCGTTGTGGCTAGGCATGTTACATTACAACGTGTGGCTGATATTATGAATATTACCTGTGTACTATAGGCTTCTTCCAGTACACGCTTCGATTGGTAAATATTTACTTATATCAATAACTTCACAATGATGATTTTCCTGTGGTACTGTTTCCAATCTATGCAAAAAATTGAATATTTCAAATTATGTATATATGTCAATTCTAAATATAAAAGTTCTATGGTTCACAACATAAATAATAAAAATTTGCATTTCGTTTATTTTTTGTATTTGCTTTTGAAAAATTGTTAAGCTACAAGTTAAATTCCTAACATTCATACATAATTATAATTCCTACTTATAAACAAAATCAATAAACTTAATAAACTCTTACAGATGATTCTGTTATTTCGTCATGCCTATATGTTAATTTATCAATAAGCCGCGGTCTTTTAACAAAAACATTAGGTATATTTAGTGTTTTTTATTGTTATTATAGCTTAGAAAAGTTTTAGGTACTTACACATTGGAAATACTAACTTTCGTGTTGATATTTTCAACTTTCTTTCTCCTGTAAAAAATAATTACATTTCAAACGTTTTTTAAAGTTATTATTTATAAAAATAATTAATAAATTTATCTAAACATGTAATACTTAAAAAAATTGACTTTATATTTCTGGAATCGAACCCAGGTACTCTCGAGTGCAAACTGCAAATCCATAATCCATAATTCTACAAAATGCACTACTGTAATACACTACGTTTCTTAAATTCATAGGTTTATTGTTATAAAAATAAATATATTTTTTTTGTACTTATTTATAAAAATATTTAATAAATTTATATAAATACGTAATACTTTAAATAAAAAATAAAATTTGATTTCATATTCCTGGAATCGAACCCAGGTACTATCGAGTGCAAACTGCAAATCCATAATTCTACAAAATGCACTACTGTAATACACTACGTTTCCTAAATTCACAGGTTTATTGTTATAAAAATAAATATATTTTCTTAGTTACCATTTATAAAGATATTTAATAAATTTATCTAAATACTTTATATAAAAAAATTAAAATTTGACTTCATATTCCTGGAATCGAATTCAGGTACTCGGGTATACACTACGTCTCCAAATCATAAGTTTATTGTTATAAAAATAAATATTTAGTATTAATAAAATAAATGTTCACTTTTAATATCGTTCATATGTTGGTCGTTTGAGTTATATGAACGTTTTTTAATCTTCGTAACGGGTTTCCCTTTTATTTCCCATATTTACCAATTATAATTACTATTAACTTAAATTAAATTAATCTAAACTTAAAATATTTTATATTTACACAAAAGAAGAATATTTATAAAAAGAAGTATATTTATGAATATGAAACAATGAATTTAAAAATAAAATTATAGGTACAAAAACATAAAACAATCTTTACGTAAATAATGCGGCAAAGGAGCGACACGTCTATGTAGCATCGGTCCTTGGTATACAGGCGTTTACGCACAAATCCGTACATATTATTTCAGAAATAAGAAAATGCGATTTAAAGAAAATCTATTAATTTTATTAAAAAATTAAAACACTATTACGTTAATATGTTGCTAGTAGAATAATCTGACAAAAAATCAAAATGATTGCATGTACTTTTACTAGTTAAAAAATTTTTTAGAGGTATCTTTATGATTTTTTTCTATCGTATCAAATTAATAGTATCACGTTTTCATCACACTATCTAACTAGTATATATACTAAAAAATATCATATATTTTTCTGATTTAGTTTACCGCATTGGATGATATACTTTAAGGCAATATAAATCTTGTGTTTAGCTCCTGTAGTCCCTTTAATAGGGATCTAAATGTGGATATAAAGTCGGCCGTAGGGACATCATCATAATGCTAGTTGGAATTTTATTATTTTATTTTATTTATGATGATGGAATACTAACCCCAACTGAAATACCAGCACAGAGTAAACTTTTAGTTAAACTCCTAAGTTGCTAGCTACATTTTCTTAAGATGACATAGAAAACAATTTAAAATCAGTGACTGAAATAATTTATTCTATTTTCAAACAACTCGACCTTAAGTTTCATATCTCGTTTAACAAGTGCTTACACCCTAACTTGACATGGTGTTAAATATTCATAAGAGCATGTGTAGAAAAAGGTATATAATGGAAAATATCACAGCTTCCTTCACTTTCAAATCAGGTGACGCGTCGAGGAAACACAAGAAGTAACATTGTAAGTACACTTTAGATAATTTAATAACTTTCTATTGTAATTTTGTTTAGTATTTGGTAGCGAATTATAAAATACAATGAAATAGTTGAGAAACAGGAACAGAGAATGCAATATTAAAAGCGCGTGTCCTACTAGTACTGGATTACATTTTTTTTCCAGATGAAATTTCAACAAACCCTAGTATTCATCACTTTTGTGACAATGGTCTCAATGTGCTATGGACATATTGGTGGCGAGATTTCTTTCCAGGACGTAAATCCTCAGGTCTACTGTGGCAGAACCTTGGCAAGGGCTTTAGCTCTTCTGTGTTTTGATGAGGGTGGTTACGATAAACGATCTCAAGCTAATGAACAAAAAGAAACCATGTATGGTAAGTTTTTAAAGGTTTCGTAAGTCAATAGGAAAAAACGGAAGTCTTATTCAATTTTAAAATAATATGTAATACCATGACCTACGGTCCCTTGGACATGTCTATAAATTAAGCTTCTTAATCAACGCAATCAAAAGATACAGCCATTTACGTCACGTATTTTTTTTTGGTACTTGTCTCAAGAAACAATTCTTACAACACAATTAAAGCAAAACATCAACACAAAATCTTTTTTTCCTTGAAATAAACCTCCGAAACAAGATATTAAATTCAAATAATTCTTCATCAGAGCTTTTAGGCTGATTTACACAGGGTCAGTAACAGGTGCCAGTGCTGGTGTCGAGGACTGACTCGCACTGTTTAGCAGTGGGCAAAAATGAATTCATGGAAACTGTAGAATTTACTGCTGTTAAATTGTTAGAAGAAGATATATTTAAAAATAAACGACTTTAGATAAGAAAATGGATAGACAACAGAAAGCTTTATTGTTGACGAGACATGACCCTACAATACGACTTGTTCGTTTAGCCAAGGTTAATACATAGGGCGCGGGTGGCGGGGGAGTGAACTGACTTCAAAATATTCAAGCAGGAATATTGAAGTCAGCACTGGCGCGACAACGCTGTACTGACTCCAAATCAATTTAAACTATGTCGGTATCGGATCAGCACTGACTTGCCTGGAATTTGGAGCCAGTTACTGACCCTGTGTAAATCAGCCATTACTGTTTTTATTAACTCGAAGGAGCTTCCATTGATCACACGTGCGTTCACTTATCACAGGTACAGAATACTACGTACACGTACGTATAGTACTGCGTATCACAGCTACGACTGTCGGTAAAACTGTCTATGCAGTCCACTTTATTTAATGGATGCTGTACACAAAAATACTCACCGCAATGTTGCGACACGTCTCTATAGATGTCTAGTTTTATACGTATCTATTATATAATAATAGGCTGAATGTCATTCCATAGGTCCTCACAGGTGAAAACGCATCTATAGTCTTCTTGGTTTGAAATGGTCAACGGGTGGCCATTTTTAACACGCTTTTATTAGCTCGGTATGTATCTATGTAATGGAATTTTTGAATGTGATTTTCATCACCTTCAAAATGTCGGATTGATTTGAAACCTTGCACACTTATAAAGGACTTAGGATTTGCGCATAATTCATAAAACCACTACGATTTCTGCCAATTCAAACTACTGTAAGCCGCGTAAAATAACTTCGTTCAAAAAAAAAACACGCCTCTGTAGTTAGCCGCACTAAAAATAGAAAAACTAAAATTTTTACAGATATTTTCATGATGACACTAATTTTATAAAAATCCACAAAAAATTTACAACAAATGACATCAAGCACCCCATTCTTTTTTACAATAAAATGAATTGTTTATGTTGATCACTATTTTTTTATTTTAAGCTTATTGAAAATTATTTTCTACTTTTAGTTCGGTTATCTACAAAAGCGTGTTTTTTTTTAGTTTTTTTAAACATTATCATTTCACTATTATTTATTATTAAGTAAGAGTGACCAACAAGCATACAATTTTTCTGATGCTAAGTGGCTGCTGTGGATCATCATATACATAATTTAACTTATGAATTCCAATACTCGAGTCCTGTTAGGAATGGTTCAGAAGGCGTGCATTTCTTGGAAGAGTAATTTTTATGCCAATTACACCATTTTTACAAGCCCTATATTATCAATATCGTGTGGTGTAATCCATAACTCCATTATTATAACCAAGTCCCGTGGATGTCCTAAGAGACGATTATGGAAAATGGTAGAAAAACCTCATATCTTTCAATAGATGGCGATATATTCATCTCTTTTACGCCAGATACAAACTACCCAGACTGTGACGTGCGGAACTGTTGAAAGTGCGGGAGGTCTGGTATTGCTACCTATCGCCAATCCATCTGACAAGTGGAGATAAGAGAGAGCCCCGTTACAATAGAAAAAACCCATGTCCGGTAGAAGACTTTTATAATGATGACTCATCAACATCATCATTACAACCCTTCACAAGTCCACTGCTGAACATAGGCCTACCCCAAGGAATGCCACAAAGCACGGTCCTGAGCCACCTGCATACATCGGCTTCTTGCAATTCTTACCAGGCTCTCACTCCATGTAGGGGACACCCTACACTTCATCCGCTGGTACGAGGTCGCTGCTCTAGAACCTTTTTCTCAATCGGTTGTCGGTTCTTCGAGCTATATGAGCGGCCCACTGCCACTTCACCTTACTAATCCGTTGGGCTATGTCAGTCACTCTGGTTCTACTGCGGATATCCTCATTTTTAAGTCTATCACGCAGAAAAACTCCGAGCATAGCCCTCTCCATAGCGCGCTGGGCGACCTTGAGCTTCCTCATCCGGCCAGCAGTGAAGGACCATGACTCAGTTCCATAGCTTAATCACTGGCAACAAGCACTGGTCGACTGACGCGAAGATGTGTCGTAATCTCCGGAACGCTGCCCAGTCGAGTTGAATCCGTCGATTGACCTCTCGGTCGAAGTTGGACTTACCTAGTTGGACTATTAGTCCCAGATAAACATACACGTCAACAACTTCGAGCTTAGTGCTCATAACAACTACCAGCATAGGTGTGACATGGACATTAAACATGATCTTTGTTTTGTCCATGTTCATCTTAAGGCCTATCCGTTGGGAGGCACTGTTGAGGTCATTGAGCATAGTACTTAGGTCCTCCAGCGATTCTGCCATAAGGACTATATCGTCGGCAAATTGAAAGTGAGTGGTCTACTCGCCATTGATGTTAATACAGTATCCTTTCCAGCCCAGAAGCTTGAAAACGTCTTCCAATGCAGCGGTGATGAGTTTCGGGGATATAACGTCACCCTGTCTTACACCTCTCTGCAGTTGGTTAGGTTTCGTACTCTGGTTCTGAGGGCCGAGGTTGGTTCGTAAGCCTGTATGACCTTCAGCGGATACCATTTGGTGATTCTGAGTATAAGGTATGCAACCGTCGTCGACACACTCTCAATCTTTATAACGTTGTTAACGAGAGACTTGTGGACGATAAATCCGACATCTCCTAGGGACAGATGGTTGCCCTCCCTGTGATAGAACAAGTTACCGGATTCAAGGATTACCGCGTTCTCTCCCTCTCTTCGGACCCCAGATAATCCTATGATATTACAGCGCAACTAGCTATCTCTTCTTCCAGCTCCAGGATCTTCTCGTCAGTCCTTAGGGTGCGTGCGTTGTATGTTGCCAAGTCGTCTTAGATACCAACCAAACCTCCACCGGAGATTCTTAACACCCCCTACCCCGCCGTTAATATGGCCACCGTAGCCATGAATAGCGGGGCCGCCAGGGACTGGGGGCTATCGCTTTGTAACTTTCATTTTATGGGGGATATTTGCCATAGTTGTCACGCTTGGCGAGCGAATTGGCAACCGCAGTTTTTTTATTGTTGCTTTGCTGTTATCAGAAAGATGCTGCTGCCGATCTTCTGCTTCTCTGGGTATTCTTACCTGCCACTACACAGGATTAGAATTAGAGCATATCGCAAATAAGGAGGTTATTAAAACCTTGCGGTGTCTAAACATGAATAAAGCTAGTGGATCAGATGGTATACTAGCTATAGTTCTAAAGGATTGTGCACCTGAGTTATCTCCTGTGCTGACACGCTTGTTCCGTCTCTCATTTAGGACAGGAATAGTGCCAAAATTCTGGAAGCTGGCCGATGTGCAACCTGTTCCAAAAAAAGGCAGCCTTGCCGACCCTGCCAATAATCGGCCAATCTCAATTACCTCCATACTCTGCAAGATTATGGTGCGTATATTGAACGTCCTCTTAATGGCATACCTAGAACAGAATAACCTTATTGTCTTAATCCTTAGTGACTGACAGTATGGGTTTCGCCGGAATCAATCAGCTTTTAGCGTATGCCACACACGTATGTGGTGAGGCACTCGAGAACAGTGGGGAAGCCCTTGCTGGTACCCTTGATGTCTCGAAGGCCTTTGACAGTGTTTGGCACGCTAGCCTTTTGGGTAAGCTTCCCATGTACGGCTTATCCCCTGGTCTGATTGACTTGGTAAAGGAATTTCTGAGTGAACGGTCTCTCCGGGTCGTCATTGATTGTTGCTCATTCGATCCTATGGCGACTAACGCCGGTGTTCGTTAGAATTCCGTTCTCTCAGAAACTCTCTTCCTGCTACATATTAATGATCTGCCTGGTATCTATGGGTATGCAGATGATAGTACAGTTGTGGAGAGATACTAACCAAGTCCTCGTGCCAGTCGGGCTCAAATGCAGTCCGAAAGAGAAGCTATGGTTGAGCGTGTGAATCTCACACTACAGGCAGTCTCAAAGACTGCCTGTAGTGTGAGATTGACGGAGGGATGATGCCAATCTTGTGAAACTCAACGCCTTCAAAACACGAGCGTCTCTTCACTGCAAAAAGAATCCAGCTTACTTTGGCTTCTTCTTTCCGAAATGTACCACTTCGATACACCGACCGCCTTCAGTTGTTGGCGGTTGAGATATCCTCAAATATTCTTCACGCTGGTTTTCTGTGAGGTCGTGGTACCACCCCGGTTCGAGCCGGCCCATCCGTGCGACAGCAAAAGCTGCCGCGTGGCTCTACCACTGTTAAAACCAATCTTACCAGCCTCGAACACAGGCGCAAGGTAGTCAGCCTTTCGGTTTTCTACAGGATGCATTTCGGAGAGTGTGCGCAGGAATTGCATAATTTAATTCCTCCCTCTCCCTTCCACCATCAGACAACCAGATATTCAGCCAGTCTCCACCTTTCATTGTTGACTTACCACGCTTTCGAATCAAACGGTTTGCTGCGTCGTTCATAATGCGTACAACAAAGGAGTAGAAGAAGTTGCCAGGATTTGTGTTTCCATCCGATTACAATGTGTGTGTCTTAAAGGCAAGAGTGAATGGGCTTTTGTTAAGTCAGTTGCGCTTCACAATCTTAGGCTACATCACCACTTACCATCAGGTGGGATTGTAGTGAAGCGCTGGCTTAAAATAATATATAAAAAAAGTAACTTGTAAGTGCTTGAATGTTTAATGCTGCTGTGTTTCGTATGGTGAGTGTAGAGAACTGGAGACCCTTTTTTACTGGAAATGAGGCATTCCATCTCAGTCATCAGGGGTGACAACGCATCTGCATTTTGATTCTTATTTGAGCATACATGTAGATGTCTATGGAGCACATCAGGTTTACTGTGTGCTCGTTTGTCACCCTTATTCTATAAAAGAAAACTTGTTAGTAGATTTTAATTATATTCATTTTTACAGGGCCATACTTATTGCCATACTTCAAAGACCAAGAGCCTCAACGGGGATTACCCTGGATGTCTTCCAATAAGGCAAGAAGCATGTCGCTTCCATCTCGAGGCAAGCGTTACCCGGGCGTCGTCAGCGAATGCTGTGATAAGCCTTGCAGCATCAACGAACTACTCACATATTGCTAAACCAAGCCGTGGATGACAGATAGTATTGTTTATATAATACTGAATTTATTCCTATTATTCTATCAATATAAGAGCGCTATTTTAAATAATTATAATTATGTAGTATTAACATTTTTAACATTAAAATTCAAATTCAAAATTTAAATATTTTTTTATTTGTTGTGTGGAAAACAAGAAGCATGTCGCTCCCATCTCGAGGCAAGCGTTACCCGGGCGTCGTCAGCGAATGCTGTGATAAGCCTTGTAGCATCAACGTACTACTCACATATTGCTAAACCAAGCCGTGAATGACAGATACTATTGTTCATATAATGTTGAATTTATTCCTATTATTCTATCAATATAAGAGCGCTATTTTAAATAATTATAATTATGTAGTATTAACATTTTTAACATTAAAATTCTTCAACACTTTCATTTACAATCGCCTTATACACCTTTTTCGTCAATCGTTCTTCATTCATTCGACATGGCCAAACCATCTCAGCATACCTTTCTCAATTTTTGTCATTTCATCTTCTTTCAGACCACAACGTTTTCTTATCTCACTATTTCTTATCCTGTCACTCAGTTTATATCATAATTCTTATTTATATCATAATTATTATTCTCCTATCATAATTTTTAATGCTCTCATCTCAACTGCATTTATTCTGCTTTCATGTTTCTTCTGCTATACCCAACTTTCACTTCCGTACATGAGTGACGAAAGCAATACCTCCTCATGCACAGCCAAACGAGCCTTGTTAGACATCTTTCGATTGCTCATAAAGGAATGCAAAGCTCCATTCGCCATGTTTCCTGCATTCACTCTGCTTTCAATATCACTCTCACACTTTCCATCTCTCATAAACTTTGAACCCAGATACACAAACTCCTTCACCTGTTCAATTTGTTCATCTCCAGTCACGATATTGCAGTCAGTCACTGCCTCATCTCTTTCAAACACCATTACTTTCGTCTTCTTTACATTCATCTTCATTCCCTTTCTAACAAAAGCTCCACTCATAGCAGTTACCATCTCCTGCAACTCGTCGGCCGAAGACGCAATTAGTACTTTGTCATCAGCATAGAGAAAACATTTGACGAGTTACCCATTCTTTCTCAACCCACTTTCATTCTCTTTTAAATCTATCAAACAATTGTCCATGAACAGATTAAATAGCAACGGTGAAGCTACACATCCCTGTCTAACACCTTTTTTGATATTAAACCATTCAGTGTATGCCCCGTTTATCCTTACACAAGCACTAGAATCCCTATAAAGAGATTGCAATGCTCGTATGAGGATACTCCTCACACCGTCGACGGACAGTGCTGACCACAATTCATTTTTCACCAGTCTAGTTTTTAGCCAAACACTTTTCGGCTATGCACCGCAAGGAAAAGACCTAATCCGTACATCCCATTCCGTTTCTAAATCCCGCCTGTGCATCCCATACTTTTTCGTCTGTTTTATTCACAATACTTTCAATCAACACTTTCGCATACAATTTACCGACGACGCTGAGAAGGCTTATACCGCAGTAAGTTATGCAGTCCTGCCGTGACCCTTTTCCCTTATACAATGGTACGATTACGGTTTTGCACTAGTCTCCCGGTACTTGCCCATTTCACCAGCACAAATTGAAAAGGCGGTACAGCTGACTAGCCACTATGTCCTGTCCAACCCTCAGCATCTAGACGGTAATCCTGTCATACCCTGTAGCCTTACCTAATCCCATATTTTTCAACGCTTTCACTATTTCATCCATGCTTATCTCACTTTCATCAACATTTATATTAGTTTCCATGGAAAGTGCCGGATGCTGTATCTGCACTTCCTCTCTTTCAAACAAACTTTCAAAATACTCTATCCATCTCTATAATACACTTTCTTCTCCTTTTATAATGCTCCCATCTTGACTCCTGTTTGTATTCAGCTCCGAGGTAGAATTTTTTCCTCTGGCTGTTTTGATGGATTTCAAGAAAAACTTAATGTTTGACTGGAAATCTTTAATGAGCCTCCTATTGAAATCATCCTTTCGTTCTTCCTTCTTTCTAGACACCACTTCTTTCGTTGCTGATTTCAATCTTTTATACTTCGTTCTTGCTTCTTTTATCTCGTCATCCGTTGCCTTTTGAAATTTTTGGTTAGCTTTTGTTGCTAACCAATCCAACATCTTTAAGATTGATCCCTAATAAAGTACAGCCTCGCAATGTGGTCGTTTGTTTCCTTCACCGTGCCCAGCTATTGATTGCGTGGTGGGAGGTGTAATGCAGGCTAATAAATATTGACCTTTCCCCAGGGATCTTTCTTAAGGTTTAGTTATAGGCTGTTAATAAAATAATGGCGTGATCATCTTAGTTAGGACACTTATTTACATTATGTTTGTTTAGTAACATTTTAGATGTTTTTTGGAAGAATTTACCAGAGCAATATAAAGCCCCACCAACAGTTTTATATTTATTTAAGGCTAATGAACCTCATTAACAAAGAAAGGGCTCAAAAAGATTATAATCGTATAATAAATAGGTCCTATTCCACTTGTTTTAGGGCTACATCAATCAATTCCTTATAATTAATCCCTTCCCACTTTGAAAAGGCTCATAATATTTATATAAAAATACCCGATATAAGGGCTTCGCTCTCCCACATATTTAAAAAATGTGGAGGAGGCACACGGCCCCACACAGGCAAACGCCGTATGCGGTGAGCCCCAACCAAATAGCGCGCTCCTCCCAAAGAGGAACGAGACGTTGGGAACTGGACCACAGTCCACAGCAAGATTACTGGCAAACCATTAAAAGAGGGCTTGACCCCTTGGTAGTGCGTCAGCACAAACATCGACCGAGGTAGCGCATGTCAATGAGCGTAAACGCCATACAGAATACGATCATATCCAGCCACAGTGAACCTGTGGGTGTAAAGCCCTTCGTGGGTGCCACAACCTGCCAGAACGCCGCGCTGCTCCTGTTTATTGTAACACATCACCACCGATTGCATGGTCAGCACGGCTTCTAGCCGCAGAGCTTGTCACGAGTCTACTGTTCACCTCGAGAGAAAGGGCTCCCACGTTGAGTGGCTTTCAGCTGCAGCCTTGAGAGTCTCCTCTCTCCAGCTACCACTTACAAGAGGTCGACACATATGGTCCACCAACCAATACAACGGCAGATATAGCCAAAAAGCAGTTAATAATAATAATAATAATTCGCCATCAGAAAGGGTTTGTGTAACTGACTTTGTGTATATTCATTTTTCGAACATGTTGGTCTCACCCACAACAAGATGCCTTCAATCATTCAAAGATGGGAAATTTACGGAGATATATTATTATATTGCTATATAAAACATTATGGAGGTCAGACGGTCGGCAGCCCCGTCAAGGGACCTGACTTGGGCAAAGCTATTACGTGTGAGTCAAAAACCAAGACGCAGAAAGCGCCATTGAGAATAGCGACCTGCCAAGCAACCATCGCAAAGATGTAACGCTGCAAAACGCAAAAGCATCAATACAACTATCGTCGGACTTACCATCCCAAGGTTCCTCATACGATCCCAGCGGAGATCCCCATCCGAACTCCTCCATCGACCAGAACCACAAGATGCATCGAATCAGGCGTATCACACTCAGATCCATCACAAGACGCAATATCGCAAGTAGCAGTAAGCAAAAATGCAACTGTCATACTGATGGCATCCCCTCAAAACACACCAACATGATCCCTGTCGATGTCGGCATCAAAATTGGTAATGTTGTTATTTAAAAATAGCATCAACGTGTCATAGCAGCACCACATAATAAATAATAGTATGGCAGCACGCTACTAAGACGCCAATAACCAAAAATCCATGTTTTATAGAGCTATGCACTAAGACACGGAGTTGAGTATGTTTGTTGCACTTAAAAGTGATACCAAAAACACTTCCTAATCCGAAAGATATACGTTTCAGAGCGGTACACAGCACTGTTGCTAGGCGGGCTTATAATTTAAGTAAAAAAATAATAATTATATGTAATAATGGCACCAGCTGATTAGTGACTGCTAGTACGGTTTCCGTCGGGGTCGCTCAGCTGGCGATCTTCTTGTTTATCTAACACATAGACGGGCGCAGGCGATCGAGTCCAAGAGCTGTTAGTTTGCACATAGCAAAGGCCTTCGGTCGGGTGTGGCACAAAGCGCTTTTTTCGAAGCAAAGCGCTTTTTACGTGGTAGAGCCATGCTGCAGCTATAAGTTGTAGCACGAATGGGTCGGCTCGATCGGGGAAGGACCACGCTCTCACACAATACCTGCGTAAAGTAGCAGCTTAATGCTGCTGTGTTTCGTATGGTGAGTGTAGAGAACCGGAGACCCTTTTTACTGGAAAAGAGGCATTCCATCTTAGTCCTCACGAGTGACAACGCATCAGCATGTTGATTCTTTATTGAAGGCACTCAAGGATCTGAGGACAGAGGGGTCAATGGTCTGGAATTTAAGATGGCCTCTATCTGACTCAGACACGTCGAAAGTTCTTCATAAGTTAGATGAGTAAGACCAAGAGTACGACGTAAAAGATGTTTTGTTGACTTTACTGCTGCCTCCCAAATGGCCCCATAATGAGGTGAATAAGGTGGTATAAATTTAAAATCTATGCCTTGGTTTGCAATGTCTGACTCTATATCATTGTAAGATAATTGTAAAAATCGTTAAGACTCATTGAAAGCTCCTACAAAGGTAGTGCCATTGTCGGAGTACACGCGCTGAGGCTTGCCACGACGTGCGACAAACCGACTAAAGGCGGCAAGAAAAGACTCATTTGTTAGATCGGAGACCAACTCCAAGTGGACGGCTCTAACTGCAAAGCACACAAAAACACAAATATATGACTTCAACAGCTTACAACCTCTGCCTTTACGATCCGCTATTAGCACAGGCCCGGCAAAATCTAAGCCTGTGGTTAAAAATGGGAAATCAAGCTGCGTCCTATCACTAGGTAGGTTACCAATAATACACCGAATGGGCTTTCCCTTTACGCGAG